CCCTCCTTCCCCCGCCTCCCCCCTCCTCCCATGCCCCCTTCCCGATTGGCCCCCAGCTCCACGCACGTGCACACCGGGACGTTGGCGGGAGCGGCACATCTGGTAGAAGGTAACGCAGGTGTCCTACGATGAGCCCAACGAGATCAGCAATCTCGTGTGGAGCAAAAGGGCAAAAGCTCATTTGATTTTGATTTCCAGTACGAATACAAACCGCAACATGGCAAATCAACACTGGCTCTACTGGACACAGCTCCGACACCCGGACCAGTCCGCCCTCCATTGGCTAACGGATGGAACGGCGGCCCTGGCCAGACTACTCAACCAGGCTGTGCTCGCGTCCAAGCGGGCAAGGCGACTAACGGCGGAAGCTTTCATCAGAAGGGCGCTGGAACTTGGCGACGGTCCACCAACAGAAGAAGGGGAGGAGGAATGGTGGATGCAATGGGCAGCGTTGCAGGTGGAGTGGGAGGAATGGCAGATTAAGGACGCGGAATCTTGGGGACTGCGTAACAAAGCGCAATGGAGAGTCGCGGCGGGGCGCATGACAAAGACATTTTTCCGACGACTCCATCCGAAACGGCTGGCCTCTGCCATGATGACATTGCAGGCTCCGTTCTAGCAGGACGGACCGCTGGCCGACAACACTCAACACATCCTGCAGTTTGCCCACGAGTACTACTCCTACCTTCTGACTGAGGAACAATCATGGACACCGGATGAAATCGCCACAGCCCTGGCCACGGCGATTTGGCAGAAGACAACTACAACGCTGACTAACTCGGACCAACGCGACCTCGACGAACCAATTACCGAGCAGGAGATCGGGGAAGCGCTGGCTGATATGCATTCAGGAAAAACTCCGGGACCAGACGGAATGCCGGTGGAACATCTCAAGCCTGCCTGGATGTCCTCCTGCCGCATCTTCTTGAAGGGTTCAATGATGTTAGACAGGGAGTCAAACCCCTCCCTGAGGAGTTTGGCCTGGCCACGATCATCCTGGTGCATAAAAAGGCCCCCCCCAAGGAGATTCGTAATTGGCGGCCTATTTCTCTGCTGTCCGCCTCGTATAAGCTGTTGGCGAAGATTCTGGCGAACCGCCTCGCCCGCAAACTCCCTCAGATCGTTGATTCCACGCAAACGGGCTTCATCCCGGGACGACGGATCCTGACTAACATCTTGCTGCCACGGCAGATAATATGGCAAGCCCCACGGCATGACCCGCCTCTGGCGTTTGTCCTGTTGGACTTTGAGAAAGCTTACGACAGAGTCTCTTGGCCATTCCTGCTTGAAGGCCTGAGACAAAGGCGATTCGGCCCGAGATTCCTTTCCATGGTGAAGTGTCTCCTGGCCTCGGCGGCGTCTCGACTTCTGATCAAGGGCTACTTGTTTGATCCAATCGCTGTCACGCGTTCAGTGCGCCAAGGCTGCCCCCTGTCCCCGACATTATATGCACTCTATATCGAACATCTGCACGATATGATTAGAGCGGACGAGGAGCTGGAGGGGCTAAGACTTCCGGGAGGCAGACAACTTAAATCATCGGCATTCGCGGATGACACTGGCGCGGTCACTGCAACCTCTCCGTCTAGCGTCCGTGCATTGCGAAACCAGGTGGGCACTTTTGAAAAATTTGCAGGGGCACGCATGAATTGGCATAAATCGGTGGCGCTGGTGCCGGACCTCACTGTCGCCCCCTTGTTTGAGGGAATGAGAGTCCAACCGATGACAGAAACGGCAACTTACTTGGGCATCGAACTTCCCCAGGCCCTCACTGATGGCTCCCAGATGGAACAGCTGATGCGGAAGGCAGCCATGCGACTTGCCCTCTGCGGAAAAAACTGTGGATGCTGGGATATTCGGCAGAGTGCTCCTGGCGAACACAGCGGCTTCCGCGATGCTCTGGTATGGAGCCCCTGTCTCAACCCCGGACCCAGTCCCTCAGCGGGAGTACCCGACTGCGCTCTCCAAGTTCATCTGGAAGAACGATCCGTTCGCCCCACATGCAATCCACCGGGTCTCGTGGCGCAAGCTCATCCAACCGAGAGCAGGTGGAGGACTGGGCCTGATTGACCCGGCCACCCAGGTACAGGCGCTGCAGCTGCGTACGGTCATCTGGCTCCTCCTGGAGCAGGATGACTCTCCCTGGAAGATCCTTACATTGCAGACCATGGCGGAGGCAGCCCGGCTGCACCCGGTAGACATGGAGTTGGCCCTAGCCCAACCGGCCATTCTCACGGAGCTCAAAAGAGGCGCTCTGTGGTCCCCGTTCCTGAAGGCGTGGAGGGGCCTGGCCCCGTTTGAGCTTCAACCACCGGAGTCGACAGACCAGATTCTCCAGCAGCCTTTGTTCGGCAACCCGCTGATCCGGGACAACAACGGCAAACAGTTTCCATGGGCAGGCCCCAGAGGCGCCTTCGGTAAAGCCTGGCTCAAAGCTGGGGTGGCGAGAATAGCAGACCTCTGGGACCTACAGACCAAGGACTGGCAGCAGGAGGCGGCGCTGCTCAAGCAGCTGGATGGCCAAACACATAAGAAGGAACGGCTACACCGCATCAAGCAGGCGATCCCGGGGATATGGGTGGATGCTCTTAGAACGATGCAGAGGTTCGACAGGGAATGGGTGACGCTCAGATCTGAAGACCCGGTCCGCCTGCTATTCCAGATCACGGCGTGCGTTGGCGGGACCTGGTTGGTGGCTGAAGCCTGGGAGAACCCTCCCTCTGACACTGCCTTCGGACACCCCTTGGTCCGCGCCCCGAGCAGGGATGGATGGGTCCCCCGGGACCTCGTCAGATCAGTTTCGGTGGTCACAAACAGGAAAGGCCTCGCCCTGATCACCCACCATGTCTTCTGCCCGGAGAGATGCCCAGCCCAGCTGGCGGTCGATCCGGCTATGTAGACTTGGAGGAAGCAAGGCCTCCAACGCCACGACCTCCCGCTGCACCAAGTGTCCACCAAAGTTATCTACAGAACGCTGTCCACTCCCTATCGAATGGACCAGGAACTCCAATATCGTTGGGCCAGAAGGGGATGGCTCACGGGGACCTCCACTATAAAATGGACCCCTGCCGCATGGAAGTCCATGGCCAGCCGCCTTCAAACGCTCCCCAATCTCAAGCACGCAGGGCTAAACATACACCTGGCGCTCCGGACAAACCAGTGGATTGCGAAGCGCTCATCTTACTCAGATGGGAAGTGCCCGCACTGTGTTGTGGAATGCGAGGACATCCCCCACGTGTGGAGCGGGTGCCCCCCGCAACAGCAATTTTGGCAGTGGTGGAAGCAGGAGGTGGGGGGAGACAATGACGAGATGCTCCCGGACGAGTGGGCCGATTGTCTGCTAGTCGGTCCGGCCCTCAGAGACCCCCCCATTCGAGGCCAACGGGCGTACGCTATTGAGATCATTAGAGCGACCTTCTTGGGAGCGGTCTGGGCACTCAGAACACAACTCATCTTTCAACAACGCCCTCCCACCTTTGCGGCCCTGAGGGCGATGAGCCTCGCCAATCTTCGAACAACCATTGCTGCAAACATCAAAAGGAAATCGGCTGCGGCGTGGCCTCTGCTCCAGCAAACGTGGGCGCCATACTTTAAACTTGTCCATATCCATGACCAGCCCGGGTCCTGGGAATGGATCCCTGACGTGGGGACCTGCCTCCCGGGGGAATCACAGTAAGGGGACAACCAGTGGCAGTTGGAAGAGGGCACTTCCGCCTGGTCGAATCACGGTCAGGACTGGCGAGTAGGGAGGAAAGGAGAACACACACTCTGTAGGACGGCCCTGCTACTACAAAACTGATCTACGACAGAGTGGGGGACAACTCAGGCGGTGTGGGCGGGTTGAGAAAAGGACAGGAAGTCTGCTCTGAACTCTTGATCGGCGTCACGCGAGTTGGAATCGGAGGATGATAGGATGTGTGATTAGAGATACCTTAAGCCCGGTAGGCGTTACAGTGGGAACTTGTTATAGAACCATGGGAAGTTGGTTAGAGGAGAGAAACTGGCAAGAAGTTTATAGGAACTCAATAGGAGTCAGGCAAGCACTGCATTGTACGGAAATTGCGAAAGATGGTAGAGGCCGCATGGCCCCGAAATGGAAATCTTCGCCTCGCTAGGGTGAGAATAGACGAACCAAGGTAGTCATAGATGCGGGAATGGGGTTATGACCCCACAGATTGATTACTGTTGATGACTGATGTGGTAACCTTCTCGGGGGGAGTGAGGGGCTTGCCTCTGGGCATCGCACGTCTCGCCGCCCCAGATAACACCCTCTGTGACTGGGTGCTAACGCTTTCCGACAGAGGGGGCGTCAGGGGCGGCCAACCTGAATATATGCCCCCTGGCAAACCCCGGCACAGGCACGAGACCCCCGTTACTCCTTCTGTTGCTTATCTCTATCTGTACTCTGGGACGCTGGGCCCGATTCCCAGCAGGTGTTGCTCCCCACGAATAGACTGGAGCCCTCCCCTAGGTGCTACCGATAACTGCTCTTACCAGTATCGTTAGCACTATCGGGGGATGTTTGTGATTAAAAAAAAAAAAAAAAAAAAAAAAAAAACAGTGAGACCGTGGCGGGAGGGGGGGGGGCCCCCCCGCGGGGCGCCCCAATAAAACAAAAAAAAAATAAAAACAAAAAGAGGGGGGGGGTGTTTTAAAAAAAAAAAAAAAAAAAAAAAAAAAAACAGTGAGACCGTGGCGTATCGACCCTCCAGCGTTCCAGGACTTCAAGCTAGAGGTGTCAGTGATAACTGGCTTGTGGCAATCAAGCGTTCACAGCGACACTGCTGGTTACCGCCATCTTCACGGGCAATCATCATCATCATCATCATCATCATCATCTCCGCCATTGTCGACATCGTCATTGCCACGGCCTCTCACCTTCATTGTGAGCATTCGATCCGGCGACCTCGTCGTTCCACCAGGGGAACGATCGAGAAGACCCTTTAGGGGTTGATTGAAGACCTTCCTCGACTAGGAGGAAGGACCTTGATTGCTCCCGGCCGATCAGGAGCGCGGTATCGTCAATCTATCTCCCTCTTACTAATCCCCTCCCTTCCTCTCGCTGATCTCTCTCAAAGATCTCATCTTTTTCCTCTTCTTTTATCCCCTCTCCAACCCCCGTTCTCTTTTCCACCCTCCCGCCTAATTGGTAGCATCATCCAAAATTTCTACTACATGTGACACGTATCTTCCCTCTTTGTGCTTGCTTGACAATGCCGTCCATTCTGCCGTTCAGAATTTTAATCTAATTCGAGAGGATTAATCTTCATCTTCTTTTCTCCCAATGCCGTCCATTCTGCCGTTCAAAAGATACGAAAATTTCTATAGTTTCTTGATTCTTTCGTTATTTACTAAATTCAATTCTTTTGATGTCAAATTTCCTTTTATTTTCTATCCCCCGTAAAATCCCGAAATTCTTCTATTGTTTTGAAATTCCTTTTGAAATTCTTTTGAAATTTCTTTGAAATTCATCTTAATCTTGTAACAAGTCAAGAACTTTTGTTGACTTGATTTATTTACTAATCCTTTATAAAATGTCATCGTAAACTCTTTCCATTTCCCTTTAAAATTCTTTTAATTTCGAAAATACGTCAAGGAATTTTTCATTCTACTTCAAAATTTCTCATTCTTCCCTAAACTTTCGGAAATTTTTATGAATATTTTTGCAATTCATTGAATTTTGCTTAAATTTTCTTTAAATTCTGAATTTACGTCCAAATAATTTTGGAATTTTATTTTGAATTCATGATTGTCTTACACATGCTCTCCTTTATACCCGACATTATTCTTTGAAAATTTCTCCCTATTTCCCTGCTCCAGTTGGAAATTTTCCCCTTCCTCCCTCAATCCGATTCCGAATTTTCTTGATTTAATTCCGAAAGTTTGCTTGATCTCATTTCTAGACGCCTTCCTTCCTTGGCTCCTTTTCTGCATGCCAATCTGGCGCGCCGTGACAACCAGCAGCGCGTACTCCAAAACCGCGCCCGAGACGCCCATGCCGCACACCGACTCACTCGCTTTGATGCGTCGATCGCTGCCACTGAGCGCCCCTCTCGTCCCAGTTCCCTCTTTTCATTGTCTTCATCCCCTGACTCTATGCAAAGTACTGACCTAGCGAGTCCCTCTCGCTCCATCAGCGAAGGCCTTGTGTTTCTAGCTCGTGACACCATGTCTGACCCGATGGAGATGCCCACCCTTGCGCCCGCCAGTTCGGGCCCCGCCACCCAGTCAGACCCGGTACTGGCCCTCCTCCAGGAGGTGCGGACCACATTCGAGGCCAAATTCACGGCCATCCAAACCAACTTCGATACTTTGTCGGACCGGATGTCACAGATGGAGTGCCACCGCAACCCCCTCCTCTCTTCCCCACCCCCTCCTCTTCCCACACACATGCTCCTAGTGGATCACACCTCCCATCTCCCCAGTTTGGCATCTTGCAGTTCAGTTCCCCACCCACGTCATCAGTGTCTCTGCCAGCTTCCTCTCCTTTTCGGCTGGCGTCATCTACACGCTTGTCTCGTCCACGGGTGGCATGTCCTCTCCCCTGACTCACCTTTCTTCTACAGCCACATCTTCCTCCCAAATCCCCACCTCCGCAGTTCCCTCGTCCGGACCCATGGCGTCGTGTTCCGCCACCTCCTCAATTCTAGTATCCACGATACCTACCTCACCACCCCGCACTTGTTTACCTCCCCCCCACCCCCTATGACACCCAGGACACAAAATGGTGAGCTCCAAAGCCAACTTGCCATGGCCCACGACCACATCCGCCGGCTCCAAGGAGGTCAACCCTTGCCTCCCCACCTCGCGGCACAGCCTGCTGCCCCTTTTATCTACCGGCAACATCAGACACAGGCCGCTGCGATGCACTTTAGTCTTCCTCCACCGGCCACCACGATGTCTCATGGCCCTTTGCCTCAACTTTCGGCCTTGTCTAGTGCTCCTGCGGGTGCCCCTAGTTCCTTTGCCCTCTTGTCGCAGTGTGCCCTCCCCCTCTCTCCTCATTATCAGCCCTATGTACCCCGGTACCACCCTGACAGACTCCCCCAGTTCGATGGCAAGGCCTCCAAATTCCAGGGCTGGATCACCACATCAGAGGAGCAACTTCGGTACCATGGTGTAAACATGGACTTGTGGCCCACAGAGATATCAGCCCGCTTCACAGCTCGAGCGGCTTCCACTTGGCGCGACTTTCACGCCCTTCGTACTCAGCAGGGCGTTCATGCGAGTATGAAGTAAGCGGAGTTTCGTGATTTTCTCGAGCAGTACTTCTCTCGCCCGACGCCTACCCGTGACCCGATCACACGGGTCGCTGAGATCATATGGCTTGGTGGCAACAATGCCTTAGAGTCGTAAGTCACGACATTCCACCGCGTTCGCGCCCAGATCCCCCCCTCCCTCATAGCTGATGACGCTATGGTCCAGCGTTTCCGTGCTGGGTTAACCCAACCCTTCCAGCTTCAGATGCTGGCATACACAGTCCACACCCTCCCTGAGTCCTTCAACATTGCCAGTGCCATCCAGCTCACCTATGCACCTCTTGTGGGCTCCACTTCTCAACCTGGTGCTGCATCTCCCGCTGCCACGTCTGCCCCTGGCACATCTCGCCCCCGATAGTTCTCCACGTCTCGCCGCGGCCCCCGCCGAGTTCCTGGACTCACCTTCTTCTGTCGTGTCCAGACCATGCTCCGCGAGTCGTCGAGCGCTGAGGAGGGTACTGGTTCGGATGGATCCCATAGTGACCCG